CGGTTATTTGAGACGCCAGCTCACGTAAGGAGAGAGGCTCTGTGTATAAATGTGTGCTTAGGGTATGAATGTGTAAGTTATGAGATGTCTCTCTCCTGTTAGGGGTAAAAGTATTTATAGAGGTCTTTAGGCTTAGGGTTTTCTTGGGAAGGATCATCGTTCATTCAATCAATGCTGAACTGTTGAATTCTTATTTTCTATGGAAACATGGAGCAACTATTGACCATGAATTTTCTCTGCCCAAGGAATGTCTTGTCCCACGTCTCCCATGACTGACCGATGAGCAAATACTTGGGGCGAGGCAATACCTTGACCTTGACTTCTCTCTGTCTAATAAATGTCTTGTCCCACGTCTCCCATAACTGGGCAATGGGTAGGTACTTGGGGTGAGGCGAAACTTCTTGAAAGGAGACATATGGTCGTCGCCCCTAGTGAGGCTATAAGGCTCCCGACCTTGTTAGGATTTTTACAAATATAACACTACAAGTTTATTTAACAGAGAAAAAAGTAGAATAGATTGAAATTATTATTTATTAAAAACGATCCAACCTTTTTTAGTCCTATATTTTTCATTGTTTTATAATTGTGTTTAGATATTTCAAAACAAACGGAGTGCACTAGTGGAAAAAAAAGCTTTTTTAAGTCGGTTAAAAATGATTTTTTAAGTCGGGTCCGAGCCCGATCTAAAACTTACCGACATAAGAAGTTTTGACTTCTTAAGTCGGTTGTGGACCTGACTTAACAAACTATTATTAGGTCGGTTAGACAGAACCCGACTTAATAAGTCTTGCCTGAAGAAACCTCTCGGGTCATTTATACCCGACCTAAGAACTTACTTTCTTAAATCGGGTATAATTAACCGACCTAAGAAATTGTTGTTTTTTTTTTATAATCACACAAATCAGATGCAGCTTTCCCATTTAACAATTTACCCCCAAATAAGACTATCCAACTCAATCAACAAATTACACCAAAAAAAATCACACAACACAGATCACAGTAAAACCCCTAATTATCAAATAAAATAAACCAGCAACTTATAAACACAATTACGTATATTAATACTAATACACAAACAAACACGTGCATGTTAATTCTAAAGCACCAAGTGCGTACTTATCAAAACATCATCAAAATAAGAAACCTTAAAGATTGGCCTAAAAAAGTCATATCATCTTCTAAACAGCCAACAACCAACATCCAACACAGAATTGCACCTAATTTATATCATATTCTGCACTTACTTCAATATGTTCCAATATCATGTTTGCACAAAGTTCTTGAACATTTTTAACTTCTTCTTTTTTAATGGATTTGAATCCTGAAATATCTAAATAAATAAACGTTGACATAAAATTAAATTAATATATCAACATAATTTTTTTTAATTAATTGATACAACTTGCTAAAAATATTCTATTACTTACATGTGTCCATGAACCAACAACAGTAGCAGATATAATGTTCAACATGTGAGCCATGATGTAATAGTCGCACTCATAACTAACTTGTTGCTTTTGACTCTAAAATTTATTATCAAATGGGAACGTATAGTCAATAGATATTACTCAAAAATTGTTATAGAATATATATATGGAATTATTCATTTGTATGTAAAGTAAACAACTTACAGGGGGATAAAACCATTCTACCTTCTTCTGCTTTCTCACACGTTGTAACTTATTATAAGCTCCCAAAGCTCTGCAATTATTTATAGTTAACAAAATAAATAATATACTTACATTTGTTTTAGAACCATAAATCATTTGATAAATTTGCAACAGAAACAAGAAACTAAAAATCATAGTATAGTAATATTACTACTTCACTTTTATACTATTTACTTACAAGTTGAATCAATTGACAAATGTAGTATAGACTTACAATTCAATAATGTCATAAATTTTTTTATCTGGCTTCTTACCCAAAGAACATAGAAAGGCTACTTCAAACTTCTTAGGATTAATGATGAACAACTGCCAATGATGACTACAAGAACAAAATACAATAAGTGATTGACATACAGTCGTTTTGACTATAACAAGAGAAAATTCTTACTTGTTAAATAAGGAGTAAGGTAACATTCTTTTATATCATCACACATCTTCTTTTGTATGTAGGACTGAACACTACCGCGCTCATTTTGACTATGAGTGAAACCCGGATCAATAAATCCATAAATATTATTGTTGCCCAATTCCATACAGAGGCGGTGTAGATATCTATAACATATTGAAAGTTATTTGCATTATAAATGAAATTAAGTAAATGATAAATTATTAAATTTACAAATAAAATATACTTACATGAGCCACACTTGTAAGATAGTGATGCCTAATTCTTTTGTACCCATACACAAGTCTACAGTATCTTCCCTTAGAAGCTCAATAGAGGCATATGTCCCATCGAATTCACCGTTAAACTTCAAAGTTTGATCCATATACATTGCCTTTACTACCAGCATTTGACAGATACGTTCTGACTTTTTTGGTGGAGCATCATATTTCTTAGACCGAACCTATGAAATATAATAAAATATTAGACAACATATTAAAAAGGTCTCAATTGTGTAAAACGAGAATAATAAATATAATGAATACCTTATTAGAAGTAAGTTGCAAAAGTCTTTTCGGACATTGAATGAAAGTATTGGAGGCCTCACCAACCGTTGTAACCTCATCTGTGGGCACTGGTACTTTAGCATTTTCATATATCATATTGGTAATAACCACTCTCACCATATCATTATTCAGCACCTGATTGTGTATATTAGGCCCCAGCTTATACACATTAGCATATGCCACTAAATGAGTGTTTCCATCAACATACGATTCACATTCTTCAGAAATATCCTCTTGATCATCATTTGGCATATGCGACACCCTTGAACATTGGTATTAGGAGAACAAACATGGTCATTTGGGTATTTTTGAGAAAAAGATGGCAAAGATGATATATCCCGCATCACTTGCTCTCTAATCTCCTTAGTAAGCTCGGCCTTTATGGTCTCTATTTGGTCGTTACTCAAAATATTCGGGGTACTAAAATGTTTACGAGAACGGGATCCAAAGAATTGTCGAATCCCCACACCTCAACCAACAGCACGAACACGACCAGGGTGCACACCTCGCCCTGTGGCTTCTGTCATAATATCTTGTCGTCCTTGTGGGATAAAGGTCCCTTCCAACACCAGAGTATCCTACAAATATCATCAATTCAACTTCAAAAAATAGTAAAAACTGATATGTCGGTGCATTAATTCTTTTTTCCACCGCATAGAACAGCACACTATTATGATACTGCATCTTTTTTCCACCGTAATAAACTTTAACAATTTTCAGTTTGACAGCATCTTGATAGATAATGACATTTTTCAATAATGTAACAAATTGTGATATTATGTGATGATAAAGTATAATGCTATTATTTAGATGAATCCAATATTGGAAAATTTTAAATGAACAAATGAAAGGGAATTGTTGCTTATACAATCAAAGCTGTTGATATTTTAAATGCTGTTCAAATTATAATGTTGTTCAAATTTTAAATGAAAAGGAATTTGAACAAATGAACAAATTTTAAATTGTGATATTTTAAATGAAAGTATAATGCTGCCACAGCTCCACCAAGAGATAAAGTTGTTATCCTAGGAGATGGAAATACCAAAGCTGAAAGAAAACTAGAGACACGTTTACATTAAATTTCACTAAATATCTCTATGTCCTAACTAATGACTTTTGATTGGTTAATTATTTACAGTTGTTTTTAACAAGGAACCTACAACTCTCTATCCTGATGTTAAATACACCACTGTAGATGAGTTTCTTAATCAATTTGTCTGAGTTGCAAAACGATATGTGATTTTTCCTCTGGCTAAAACTGTGGCAAATTATATAGCCGTAAGTGTATTTTACTCCGTAAAGAAACTATGAATGAAGAATCCTATTTTCTGAATAATTTCTTCATGTTCGAATGCCTAATGTTGTTACATGTTTTCTGTAAGTAAATGGATTGGAAAGCATACATTATGCACACCTTGATCAACTGTTACAAATAATAGTTCCATTACTAATATGACATCTACTCTGCTCCAAAGCCAATTCAAAAAATCCACTCCTCCAATACTAGAATTCACACATGGAGGTGCAAACATACCCTTCACTCTCCACAGACTCTCTCTCCCTCTCTCTCTCTCTCATATTCCCCACAGACACTCTCTCTCTCTCTCTCTCTCTCTCTCTCTCTCTCTCTCTCTCTCTCTCTCTCTCTCTCTCTCTCTCTCTCTCTCTCTCTCTCTCTCTCTCTCTCTCTCTCTCTCTCTCTCTCTCTCTCTCTCTCTCTCTCTCTCTCTCTCTCTCTCTCTCTCACCGTCATAGTACCCACACTTTGTCACCATGGAAGAGTTGTAAAAGTAAATATATGCATATGTTGAATTGAAATGATGCATACCAAAACAAAGTAACACTGCTTACAATTTTTTCTGCAACAAGACGTGTGTCTTCTGATGTATACTCTTCTGATGGTTTTAGTCAGGCTCTCTTCCACTTCTCATGTCGTTGTGGTGGAGATGGAGGTGGAACCTCTGACCTTCCATCTGCTGCTTGTCTTTCTTTTAACTTATTTGCCATCATATTTTTCTCAAGCAAAACATATCCCCCTTGGGACAACCTATAGGGATATTTATTATAAGACTGAGTCTCTTGTCCCTTATTTCTTTTCTCCTATTATATTGCACATTGATTCATTAAATTGTACTAAAAATTAGTTGATTTATGAACTAAATAATAAAGCCAACTAACCAGAAAGGAAGGGTCCTCTCGCGATTTAACAAAATCCTTCCACGTTTCTTCATCAATATAAGGGTAATCATCAGTAGAAGACATTCCACTCTTAATTCCATTATTTAAATATCTACTTGTTAAGCTGTTTTTAAAGGACCTCCAACGCTCACCCGCATATATCATTGTTTTCTTATCAACAACATCATTTTTAGAAATGTCTCATATTTGCTATGTTACACAACAAATAAAAGAGTTAGTACCTATCAAAATATTAAAGTTATGTATAATTGTGACAAATGCAATTAAAATTACCTCAAGTCTTTTCCAAATTTCTTTCCTGTCTTCACTACCAACCTTATCCCATTCATCAATCAGAATACTGATTTTCTCTCGAGCGAGACAAGCAACATGATACTTGAAATCTTTTGCAAGTTCCCCTATAGGATGTCCATCTGAATTGAAATCAATTGGTATTCTCTCATCCCGTGCAGTCAAAAGTTGCAACTTTTTCATCCTGGTGCAACCTCTTCCTTTTGTTTTGGTTGATAGAGTATTCAACCCACTTTGCGAAGGAGCTGATGCATCACCCATATGTCTGTTTAGAGAAAAAAACATAATAATGGTTAGTAACAATTCAAGCTCAATAATATGAAATATATGAAATTATATGACAAAACTATTGTACATGAGACAATAAAAAAAATACTTAAAATCTACATATTTAGATAAAAATTCACCATTTCTTAACTAATTGTGTATTGTTTGAATATTTTCCCATATCCATTCTTGATGATCTTCACGAGTGGCATACACCTCGTCACCAATAGTATCTTCAACTAAAGTTGGCACCCGTTGAGAAAAAGAAGGAGTCTCATAAATATCTAGTGTTGCATGCTCACTATCATTAGGTCTGTGGTTGCTTTTACCTTGGAGAACCACTGACCATTTTTTGTTAGAAGGGTCCCTAACATAAAACACTTGTTTTGCATGAGATGCCATAATAAAAGGTTCATCCATATAGGCTACTTTTTCAAGGTCCACCAATGTAAAACCAAATTCATCAGTCTTAACACTATTTTTTGTGTCAACCCATTTACATTTAAATAGAGGTACTTTAAATGTAATGAAATTGATATCCCAAATCTCTTCTATGACCCCATAGTAAGCTATTGATGCCATAACCCCACTATTTTGCACACTACTAGTGTCATCTTGGGTCTTTGTATAAAATGTAAAATTATTTATATCATAGCCAGTCCAAGTGCATGGACTCAGCTAGAGAAGTGCATGGACTCAGCTACAACCATAATCCCACTATTTTGCACACTACTAGTGTCATCTTGGGTCTTTGTATAAAATGTAAAATTATTTATATCATAGCCAGTCCAAGTTATGACATCAAATTTAGGCGCCCTTGCTAGACATTTCAATGTTTCAGAACATGTATTATCAGCTAAAATGGTTTTTTTAAACCACTTTAAAAAAGTCTTGTTATGCTCATTCAACACCCATTTTTCATTCATTCGAGGAAATGTTTCCTTGACAATGTTTTTGTGAGTAGAAATGTAAGGTTGGACTTCATCAGTATTATTCAATATATACATTTATGCTTGAAGTACTTCCACTCGGCCTATGCTCTTAAGTTTTAAACCTCGAATACCTCCACATCTTCCACCATGACGAGACTTAGGAATTCCTATAGCATCTGCTTCAGACATGTATTCGGAGCAAAACTCAATAGCTTCTTTTGTGATGTATCTCTCAACAATAGATGCTTCAGGACGATATTGATTCTTTACGTACCCTTTTAAGATCTTCATGTATCGCTCAACTGGATACATCCACCTCAAATAAACAGGACCGCACAATCTAATCTCCCTCACTAGATGAATAATTAGGTGCACCATGATATCAAAAAAAAGAAGGGGGGAAATACATCTCCAGTTGGCATAAGATAACAACAGCTTAATTTTCTAACTCATCTAATTTTTTAGGATCAATGACTTTGCTACAAATAGCATTGAAGAATAAGCAAAGCCTAGTTAAGACAACTCTAACCTTTTTAGGCAATATGCCACGAATAGCAACTGGTAGTAATTGTTGCATCAATACATGACAATCATGAGACTTTAGGTCAACCAATTTCAAATCTTTCATTGAGACAAGACTCTTTATATTATAAGAGTAACCATGAGGCACTTTTATGCTACGTAGACACATACAAAAGCTTATCTTCTCATTTTTTGACAAAGTATGACAAGCTGGAGGCAAATATGTCTGCTTACCAGCTGATTCTGGAGCTAATTGTTGTCGTATACCCATCTCAACCATATTTAAACGAGCAATTGCATTATCCTTTGTTTTCCCATGAATGTTGAGAAGTGTTCCGATTACACTATCATACACATTTTTCTCCACATACATCACATCAATACAATGTATAACATCTAAATTGCACCAGTAAGGTAGATCAAAGAACACCGACCTCTTCTTCCATATATTTGTATGAGTGGTTTGTTTTTTGTTCTTTCCAAATAGAACATTGAGATCCTTCACCCGTCCATAAACTTCCTTTCCATTTAATGCTCTTGGAGCAATTCCATTCTCCTGGTCTCCATTAAACGCTTTTCTCAACCTACGATATAGGTGATTAGGTTTAAGAAATCTCTGATGCCCAAGGTACACTGTCTTCTTTCCATGTTTTAATTGTTGGAAGCATGTGTTATCTTCACATATATGTCACGCCTTATGTCCTTTAACACTATAACCGCACAAGTTCCCATATGCGGGAAAATCATTGATAGTGCAAAATAACATTGCACGCATCCTGAAATTCTCATGGGAATAGCCATCAAACACATCAACACCTTCCTCCCAGAGCATTCTCAAATCCTCAATTAAAGGACTTATATAAACATCTATATCATTTCCTAGCTGCCTTGGGCCCGAAATCATCATGGATAACATAATATATTTTCATTTCATACAAATTGAAGGAGGCAAATTATAGATGATTAACAGAACAGACCATGAACTATGATTACTACTTAAGTTTCCATATGGATTCATTCCATCAGTAGCAAGTGCAAGCCTAAGGTTTCTTGCCTCATTACCGAAATCCGGATACAAATCATCAACTTTCTTCCATTGCAAAGAATCAACTGGATGACGAAGTTGTCCATCACGTTCTCTCTCAATCACATGCCATATAATATTCTTTGCATCTTTTGAATTAGCGAATAATCTTTTGAACCTTGGAATTATTGGAAGATACCACAACACCTTTGCAGGAAGACGCTTTGTGTTTTCATCACTATTCAAATCAACATCTTTCACTTTGAAACGTGATTGCCCGCATGTGGGACACTCCTTCAACTCTTCATACTCATTTCGGTATAATATGCAATCATTAGGACATGCGTGTATTTTCTTGTACTCCATACCCATCGGACACAATATCTTTTTTGCCTCGTAACTACGATTTGGCAATCTATTTCCTTTAGGAAGCATTTCACACAACAACTCAAGTAGTTCGGTAAAACGTTTATCCGTCCATCCATTTCTTGCCTTGAAGTTGAACAATCTCAACACCGCATATAACCGTGTGAAGTTAGTGCATCCCAGATACAATGACTCTTCATTGTCACTGCATAAAGTATCGTACATATGAGCATGCTGAAAAGACTCAGGTTCAATATCATTGATCATGTCCTCTAGCCAATTGTCCATATCTATATCAACTACCTCCCTTTCTGACACACTTGACGTATTGTTTGACGGTTCACCGTGCCATATCCAATTGGTATAACTTTAGCAAATGCCCTCACAAACAAGATGATTTCGTATTTCATCTATTTAAAGTGGCGGCTCTCTATTCAAACAATTAACACATGGACAATAAAACTTATTATTATTAGGAAGTTTTTCACGAGCATATTGAAAAAATGATTGCATTCCTTTATCGTATTCTGCACCTAAACGATTAGCTTTCATCCAACTACGATCCATAACTATTTCTGAAAAAAAATAATCATTTCTTAGAAAAACAATGATTATTGGGAAAACAATGAGAAATCGGATGCCTCAATTAAATCATTGTGTGGTATCAATATTAAAAATAATGAGAACTATGATTACTACATGTGCCAAGTCAAGTCGTATAGACATGCTGTTGAAACAGAAGAAAAACACATGTTTCCTAACATTTTGTTCTATAACTTGTTAGTATTGTTGAAACAGAAGAAAAATACATGTTTCCTACATAAAAATTAGTAGCAATTGTTTAGTATTGTTGAAACAGAAGAAAAAGTCGGAAGCATAACTCAATATATATTTAGTAGCAATTGTTTCAGTTATTAGAAATCTCAAGCAATGAACCTTGCATCAAATCACATATAATACAAACACTACACCCCACATAAAAATTATTCATTTATTACTCTTCATACGATACACACATAATTGTTATCAACATCATATTCTGCACAACTCAGGCATCAAAACACAGGAAAAAGTAGCATTTGGTAAAAAGGCAAGAACAGGCAGCAGAAAGTAACCATGAACTCATGAAGAAAGAAATTATTCATGCACAACTTAGGCAGTAGAATAGAGGAAAAGCAACTACGTACAGCAGAACAACAACTACAAAACTATAGGTTTAAATATAGCTTCAGGCCACACACATGTCATCAAGAATATAGAATTTGAAGGAACATCATAGCAAGAACAGAAAAAGCAACGACAACACGATCATCAGGCAGCAGAACAAAAAGCAACTACATACAATACACACATAATTGTTATCAACATCATATTCTGCACAACTCAGGCATCAAAACTCAAGAAAAAATAGCATTTGATAAAAAGGCAAGAACAAGCAGCATAAAGTAACCATGAACTCATGAAGAAAGAAATTATTCATGCACAACTCAGGCAGCAGAATAGAGGAAAAGCAACTACATGTAGCAGAGCAACAACCACAAAACTATAGGTTTAAATATAGCTTCAGGCCACACACATGTCATCAAGAATATAGAATTTGAAGGAACATCATAGTAAGAACAGAAAAAGAAACGACAACACGATCATCAGGTAGCAGAACAAAAAGCAACTACATACGATACACACATAATTGTTATCAACATCATATTCTGCAGAACTCAGTCATCAAAACTCAGGAAAAAGTAGCATTTGATAAAAAGGCAAGAACATGCAGCAGAAAGTAACCATGAACTCATGAAGAAAGAAATTATTCATGCACAACTCAGGCAGCAGAATAGAGGAAAAGCAACTACGTGCAGCAGAACAATAACTACAAAACTATAGAATTAAATATAGCTTCAGGCCACACACGTGTCATCAAGAATATAGAATTTGAAGGAACATCATAGCAAGAATAGAAAAAGCAACGACAACACGATCATCAAGCAGCAGAACAAAAAGAAACTACATATGATAAACACATAATTGCTATCAACATAATATTCTGCACAACTTAGGCATCAAAACTCAGGAAAAAGTAGCATTTAATAAAAAGGCAAGAACATGCAGCAAAAAGTAACCATGAACTCATGAAGAAAGAAATTATTCAT